GTGAGCGAGTGGTACGACTGGCAGCACGACCTCAGACAGAACCCCGACATCGAGGTGTTGGCCACCATAGACCCCTCGAGTTTCCCGGTGGGCACCGACCCCAACCAGTCCTGGTATGACGGCTATAAACCCCTGATCTGGTCTAATAAGAAACATAAAGTGATTTATTGTAACTTCGGTCACAATTATATGGATTACGCCAAGAATTTGAATACATCCTATACTTTCTCAAGTAATGATCAAAACACGTTCCTATTCCAGGCTCTACAATACCTGGCCGGACAGTAGGCTTCATAATGTATTGTATGTTCAATAGAATTGAATGTAATTTATGATTATTTTATTATCAAAATTAATAAAATTGTAATTTTAACTCATTACTCCAAGTTTACAAGAGATTATTTAATTAACATTTATTATTTATTTAAATTATGAATGATGCAAGTAATGCCATAAAACAAAATAACATCATTTTTCAAAGTACCTGTATAAGTTATAAAGATAATGCATTTATTTTAATGCCTATTTAAGTTAAGATCAGTGTTATTGAAAACATATTTTATTATATTAATTTTTAAGATTCATTATTAAATTACAATATCATTATTATTAAATATGAATATAATATTTGAAATAGTAATAAAGTATACAAGGGAATAAAATATTTGAAATTATTTCCAAAATTTCAACAAAAAATATCTCAAACAAAACCGATTGCTTAGCGATCAACTGCTTGAACTGAAAACCCTTTAAACATTTCCAACGGAATCTAAATAATAATACAAATAATAATTGCATTAAAAATATTTAAAAATAGCACATAATATAATTTAGAATTTATAATAATTATTTAAAAGTCTATAATATTTTAGTGTTATCTAAATAACATTATAAGTTATGACATTTATTATGATAGCCTTTCAATGAACCAAAATTAATTGTACAAATATATATATATATATATATATATATATGGTATGTTTAAACAGTTAAATAAAATGATGTCATTATAAACTAAGACCGAAACAAATTGTATGTAAACTCACGGGAAAGACAATCGTAGAGTTCTTTTCGGTAGCAATTGTGGCCAATGTCTGCAAATACCGGAGCTGTAGAGCCGATGGAGACTCACTGATCACATCCGCCGCCTCCTTCAGGGCCCGGGAGGCCCTCTGTTCGCCCTCTGCGGCGATCACCTGTAGCCCAGAGGACACACATTCACCCCATCATTAATACACACCTCAAATAACTACCAAAACATGTCATACCTTAGCCCTGGCATCCCTACTGGCTTCAGCCTCAGCCGCCATAGCCCTCTGCATTTGGACGGGTAGGTGGACGTCTTTTCTAAAATGTTTATTACCTTGTTTAAATTGTTTGTCTATAGACTGAGAGAGACGACAGACTTTCTACACGACACAAAATAAAGTCATCTGATTGTCACCGACCGACCAAAATACCAAAATAAAGGTTAGGTTAGGTTATAATTTGGCGATTTTGTCCTAGCTATTTTAATTTCGCGATTATGGGATTCGCGATTTTGGGGTAAACCCCAAAATAAGTGACGTTAAAATATTCTGAAATAATGATAAAACCAAATAATCTTAATCACTAATTTTAAAATTTGAACTTAGTATATTATAAATTATAATTTATAATCTAACAATAATCAAGGAATACAATGTTCTGGAAGTGAAAACAGAGTACAAGTTATTGACATAAATTTATTAATTAACTAATCATTAATTATGAACTCTTAAACCCTGGTAGATTATAAATAATATCATTTTAAAAGTATTTAATCTCAATCGCACTTATTCTGCACTATCAATAAAGTTGTTGTTTATTGTGCACCTGCTACTATTGAGAAATTAAATTTTACAAACCACCAAGCTTTTCAGATAATCCACATAATTTTTAAATCAAACATTTTAAATCAATTAAATCAATCAACAACTATAATTAGATATTATTTTTACTTCAAAAAATTGCTGTAATTTTATCAGCTCTCATCAATAGCAATTATCTAATAAATTATTTTACCTAAATCATATTATATAATATAAATTTTATAAGCTACTCTCCCACCTGGCTATTCCTGAAATGATTCAAAATTATCGGAATTTAAAAAACATATAAAAAGACTAAACTACTTATTACTACTTTATTAATTGCTACTAACAATCAATTATTCATCAAAAAAATGTTAGCCTTATTAGCTCTAAGTCTGTATCTGTGCGCCGGGTATGGCCAGGCATTCAACATACTGTGCCTATACGACGGCACATACGACGCCGCGCACATCAACTTCGTTCACGAGGCTATCAAATGGTTGCCCCGGGAGGGCCCACATCACGGCTACACCATTAAGACCACTAACGACTGGAGCCAACTAAACACTGACAACCTAAAAAATTACCAGGTTGTCATGTTCCTGGACAATACCCCCAGTGGTAATAACGAGCGCCAGGCGTTCCAGCATTACGTTGAAAATGGTGGCGGTTTTATGGCTTTCCATGTGACGGCCTACAATGATAAAGCCAATGACTGGCCCTGGTTCCACCAGACTCTACTGGGCACCGGCATGTTCAATTCGAACACGTGGTTCCCCACGAAAGTACACTACAAAGTGGACGCACCCAACCACCCGGCCATGAAGGGCTTGCCCGCCAAGTTTGAATCAGCGGTGAGCGAGTGGTACGACTGGCAGCACGACCTCAGACAGAACCCCGACATCGAGGTGTTGGCCTCCATAGACCCCTCGAGTTTCCCGGTGGGCACCGACCCCAACCAGTCCTGGTATGACG